CCCGCCGTCAGCCCCTGTCCTCCCCTCTTCCCGCCCGTGCGGTGTGCGCGGGCAGGGGGACTTGGGTTTGGCGTTCTCTTGGATTCTGTGGGGGCTTTGTGGTTTTTGTTCAAGCCCTTTTTTTGGCCGCCCGCTTCTCCCTCCGCTTTAATATATGCTTCTGGAGAGCGACGTCCCCCCGCGCCGCCTCACCGCCCAGCCATGTCGGCGGCCATCTCTGCCGCGGAGAAAGTGGATGGCTTCACACGGAAATCGGTGCGCAAGGCTCAGAGGCAGAAGCGCTCGCAGGGCTCTTCGCAGTTCCGCAGCCAGAGCAGCCAGGTGGAGCTCTCGCCGCTGCCCCAGCTCAAAGGTACTCGTTTGCCGTCCTTCCCCCCTCCTCTCCTGCACGCCCCAGCCCTCCGGCTACAGGTGCCCGTGCCCTCGGCCGCCCGGGGCTGTCTTCTTCTGACACCGCTCTCCTGCCCCGCGCTGCCCTGTGGCCGCCTGCCCTGCTTTGTCCTCTGCCCTGCACCCTCTGCCCTTTACCCGTGTCCTCCTCCGCTCCCGGTGCTTTCCAGGGTGCTTCCTCTACTCGTATAAATAGGTGTTGTACAGGTTGGTTCTCCTTTACTGCCCCAGGGACTGACTCCACTAACTCGCCACCCTTTTTCTCGGTAACTTAGGAGGAAGCTTAGGGCTGGCAGGTTTGCTTTTTGAGGGCTTTCTGCGGAAAATGTGGACGGTAAGTTGAGTTCAGGAGTGCAGGGAATCGAGCTCCTAAACCTAGGAGCTGGTGGTGGCTCCTCCCACGGGGGGACTTTGCAAAGAGGAACTCTGTGCCTGTGGCATAACATCCTGAGTTACCGGGGAGAGTTGGTGTCCCTTTCCGTCACTTCTTGGTAGTATTTGAATGGCGTTTTGGCTTATTTTAGTGATCAGGAGTTGCCTCACAGGCCTTCTCCTGCACTCACAAGTGAATCAAAGCTGTAGATGCTGGCACTGCTGACAGTAAAATATATAGTGCAGATTCTATCCTTTGTACTGGAGCTGAAAAGACACAGTTCATTAGATTACAAAAATGAAATGTAAGTTGATTGCAACCTTTGAACATCAAAATAAATTTACAGATATTTCTTTTTCTAAAATTACAAAAGTCTTTATTAGGCAGAGAATGTAAGCTTGTTATTTAAGTATTTGAGAGACACTTGGAAAATAAGAGAGGGAGATTACCTTAACGTGACCCAGCATATTAATTCTACTTCCACAAGTGTTAAAAGTCTTACGGTTTTTTGAAGCTGCATCATATGATGGTGGAAAAAGTCTGATGACTGGCAGCAAATATCCAAAATCTGAATTAAATAGCGCAAACTTTAACATATTCCCAAGATTCTGCATATTTTTGTTTTCCTGTTTGATTTTTATGACTTTTCCACCCATGTCTGTAGTATTTCAAGACTTTCGCTTTTCCCTACTCCCGAGTGGCACATGTACACGAACCATAAGACTGGCTGTTGGCAGAGATGTTATTAAACACAGATAAGCTTGGGCAGGAGAATAACAAGGGGATTTTTAGGGGCTTTTTAGCATGTTTGTTGCAGCAGCTTTGGGTGTTACTTTTAACAACAGCAGGGGTGTTCTTGCTGCATGTTTTGGACTTGCTTTTCTCTGTGAAGTTGTATCCTGTGTTGGTGCACTCGTTTGATTTGAGGGGTTTGTAACCAGAATAATCTGTTTGAAATCAAGATTTAGTTCCTGCCATCCCCGTGCTGCTTTGACAGTGTATTTTCCTCAGAGAGCATTTTTATAAAACAACACTTGAGACCTTGTAAAAAGCACTTGGTAAATGCTGCACATAGGTGGCAGACTTCAGAAAGTTTGAGTCCTGATCCAGCAAACAGTTAAGCATACATACTTTATGCAGGGAGTAATTCCAGCTTCAATCAGCAAAATGTCCAAGTTTACATTCTTTGCTGAGCTGGGACTTTAATATTGAATTTGTAACTCCGTATGATTAAGTCTTACAGTTTTGTGAGTGTGGTTTTACAGCTTTTACTTCTAATACAGAGAAATTTTGCATGGCATCAGCAGCTCAGATGTTTGGAAATTTGAGGCCATAAACTATCAGAGGAATTGCTTCAGTTAGGCCCAGTTTTATAGTGGTTTGAATTGCCTTAAGTTCTTAAATGAAAATCACACCTGTTTTTATGCTTATGATTTGAAGACTTGTCCTCTAAGCCTGCTTCAGAACATAAATTGTGGGCAAAATATGCTTTTATGAGTTATAATATCCAGTTGTCAGGAAGTTGGGCAGCACTATTCTGCATGTTTTCTCCCTTGGGTTTGCGATAGATTTGACCTGAATGTAGCTATAGACATAGGATGATTCCTCTCCAAGTGCCTTATTCTTCTTCCTTTTCTCTCTTGAACTTCCCCTGCCTCCCAAATGTAAAAAGCGTCAAGGAAAGAAAGTGTTTGCTCCCTCTATACGTTTATAAACCGCTTTATTCTAATAAAGGAAAGATGAAGCTTTGCTTTAAAGTTAACATGGAATTCAGTAATAGTTGTGATGCTGACAGTGTGGTATTATCTACAGAGTAGTAGACAGTGTTCTGAGAGGGGCTGTGAAGTACAGTCATTATGCTGATGCCTAAGAGTGCTCAGCATGCACTTAGGAAATTAGATGCAGAGTTTTTGCTTTTCCAGGTATATTCTAATAAATGGTTAAATCTGAGGTGTTTGAAGCCTGTATTGGGAGAAAAGTGGTGTTTTGTAGTTGAAGCAGCTGGGTATTAATTTGCTGTAAAATCTTTTATCTTGTTTATAGTTACTTTTTTCATCACTTTTCAGAAACAAATATTCTAAATGAAATATAAAACTCCCCGATAGGTTTGTGAGACTGGCCTAAAATACCTGCACGGATTTTCCTGGAAGGAGAGACATTCCAGAAGAAAAAGAAAAAGTACTCATCCACTTTAAAAATCACCTTCTTGGGGAGATAATGTCGTGGGTATTTTTTCCCCTTTATCTAGGGACTGTTGTTTGTTTGGCACTGAAATGGCCAGATCAGATTGTGTAACATGCTTTTGTAGTTGTGTTGTTGGAAAGCCTGTAGACAGATAATCTTAAAAGTACATATTTCTGGAGTTAATCGTCCTGCTGCTGTGTATGACCAAAATGCCTTAATTTGGCTGCACAGTGTATCACTACTAGAAGAAATCTATCTGTAACTAGTAGGGAACAGTCTCAAATAGTAGGTGAATTTGTCTTCGGAGGTTTTGTTGAGGGAGTGAGATTGAGATGAGGGGTAGCAAGATTGTGTGTTGTTATTAACATTCAGTTTGTTTATTGTATGGGATTATAGCTATCATTTTAGCTAGAAGCTGAGCAAAACCTGCTTGATGTCAGGATGCATACAATAAACTAGCAATATGTTCTTCAGTTAAGTTAAGCAGGTTTCCTGTGTGTTTATTATTCAGGAGAGTCTCCATTTTACTGTATTCTTTAAAAGCCGAGTAAGAAATCACTGAAGAGCCAGTGACAGTATTTAAAACGTTAAACCTGTTAGAAGCTGAAGTTACTTTTTTTCCCCATCTCCTTTTCATTGTTACTTTATAGTTTACATCATACAAATCCTTTGAAAAACGTACAGCCAAAATAATGTGCTGGTCAACAGCAGCATTTTGTCACTCCATGGGCAATTCTGAGTGTTGAGTTTAAAGGAATCTGGCAAAGGAAGTGTTATTTTTAACATCTTAAGTAATTTTGTCTCAATAGCAAGTTGTTTCAAAACAAGACTGCAAGAGCACCTGCAGTTACCTTCATTTTTTGACAAGAGAGGTGCAGCTTGACCTCAGAGCTTGATCTGACTCAATGTGGTAAAAAGATGCATACTTGTTTCTACCACTTTTGGGTGAAGAAGCATGTAAAAACACAGGTGGAAGTGGTGAATAGAAGACACAGCTTGTTGCTTTTAGTACTGTTAATATGGTCTGTCAGGTTGTAAAGTAAATAATGCCTTTTTCTTTTCCCCTATATACCAAACATATCAAGTGCAGCTGGAATGAATAAACCTTTCCTGGTGCCTTTCTGTGATCTTCTCTGTAGTGAATATCCATTTGGGAAGATGCATGTCACCACAGGCTTATTTACTATATCATGCAAACAAATATGCTATATCAGCAAACAAATACATGAAAAGAAATTCTTAATGTTTGCTTCCAAACATAACTGTCTTCCCACAGAGAACCCCCTGGCCCTTACAGCAGAACAACTGGAAAGTGGTCCAAAAATCTTTCAGCCATAGGCAAGTGATGGTTATAATGATCTCTGTGGGGCTGGGGAAGTGGTGAAGTACCCTGGAATAAGACATGTTTAAGACAACCTTCCGGTATGTAGTTTCAGCATTGAAATATGGAGCCTAAAATAGGTGTTAACAGTAGTATTTTCTTTACTTAACCCCTTGAGAGAGCTTGGTGGGTTTTGGCTGAAAACCAGGTGCTGTGTTCAGGCTGAGCTTTTGTGGGGATGTTCCAGGAAGGCCTAATGAGCTTGCTTATGGGTAGAATTTTAATGTTATTAAATCTATCAGGGTCAGTTCAGACCTTCAACTTTGACTAGTTTGAGTCATATACTGTGTGCTTGAGTGACAAAAATAAGCAGAGTTAAAAACAGCTGAGAGGAATTCTCTTCTCATGTTAAGTTGCCTTTGCTCCCCAAAGGAAAATGTCCTTCAGAATTTTAGGATGGTTTTACTTTTACTACAGCTTTCATACATACTTGTGAAATGTCAATTTGCTGTCTCAGATTTGCATTTTTTTTTTGTATCCCTTGTGATTCATTGTTATTTCCTTTCCTGTAGTTCCTTATCCTCTACCTTTTGTATTCAACATCCCTTGCATCTGCAGTCTTCTCACAGGAGCTTTTCCACAGGAGAAAGAATCTTTATTTCAGATGAAGAATGAGGATGTTCTGTGAGGAATTTAGATTTAACTCTTATGTGTAATCTCAGCAGGGCATACTATAAGGCAGTCAAAACTTCTGGTTAGTGCAGTTGCAATCTTGAGAAACGGAGAACCTATAATAGCTAAAAAACCGTCAAGGTTGTTTTTTAGTATTCTGATGTAGTTCCCTGTTAAATTTTATTTTATTTTTTTCTATATTAAGGAACTGTTCCTAGTTTATGGAGTGGAACATTTAGTCTTTAATTCTTAACAAATCAACCTTTTTTATCCTTAGACTTGAATTTTTGGTCTTAGAATGTACTTCCATCAAGAGCAACTCCTAAATATAGAGCCTATTGACAGTCTTCACATGAACTTTTCTATTTAAATCTTTCACATCTTCTGTGTGCCAGCTTAGGATCAGATTTCT